TGGTTGCAGTGCAAATCTGCTCCAGTTTTGATAAATTCCCCCATCTGTGTATACATTATAAATACTTTGTCAAAGCTTAGCTGAATTAAAGACAGAATCTAATTGGTTGCCATGGATAACGTCACCCCGTGTTTGATTTTGCTTCCACAGCATGCTTCTATATAATCATCTATAATAGCTTAGGAAGACCAGCAGCTGATCATTTCAGCTCCTAGGCTTAGTGCTGGATGTCAGCTGTCACAGACAGTTGTTGGTTCCAGTCTCAACCACCACTGGCACTTGCAGGAGCCACTCATTCCTGCTGCTGTTTTAAAATGGTGCTAGGACGAACAGCCGCTATCCCAGCATCTTTTTTAAACTGCTACAGGTTAAAGGACACTGAAGAATCACAATCTTCCTATGGGAGGGAGCAGTGGAAACTGGTCCCAATTAACACCAACTCAGAAGGTCCCACTAGAGAGGGGGAATACTGAGGATCCAAATTATCAAAGAACACAGGACATCCTTCGGAAGAAGAGGGAGTACCCTTGTAGGGAATAACTTCCAAGTATAAGTTCCTATTAAGACAGGAACAGGAGGTATCCAAGATCAAGGAACCCAGGGACACCTAAGGGCACAGCTACATGTAGTAGCACATGTAAGATGCAGCTAAAAAAGATGCAGTCTCCAAGGAGCCCATGAGCTAAAGGGAGTATCATAAGCACACAAAACCAAGGCCTGATACCCAGGGACCCATTTGGTTCTTTGAACAGTCCACCCTTACTTGTACAAGTGGAAATGCACCTTCACATCAAAGGCTTACCAGAGGCATTAGCAGATCTTCAGGTTCTGGACCTACGGTCTGGGTGGGCGATAGCAGTACATATTTGCAGATCACCTGAGGCTAAGAGGTAACCGACTCTACTCATCTTTCCGCAGATCTCCTACACGCTGGTAAGAGCGTAATGAGGCCACCGAGGCGTTGATAATGAAAGTCAACAGCTGGTCCAACACATTACCTCCCTTGAAGGGACGACATAACAGCTGTTCCCCTGACATCTCACCATCATTCTACACAGGTAGCCAGAGTGCCTTCAGAATTTGTACAGATATCAGTCCTTTGTGGGACATAAGTTAAGAGGCTAGTAATAAACTGTCATAACTATCACGAGGCTTCACACATCTTCTCCAACCACTTCATGACACATGGACCTACTATTGTGATAGAAGTAGGAATTTAATTCACTGTGACAAAGTCAGGAAGATTAAAGTTACCATCAACACAGGACAGAGGACCAAACCAGTTAAATTAAAACTAGGATCCAAGGAGGGAATTTAACTTTATATTAAATGGAACACTTAACTAGAGCACTGGGACTTCCACACTGGGCAATCCCCACCTATTAGTGAATCCCTGCTCAAAAGGAAAAAGCTCTGGCACAGTCTCAGGCAGGGTCGAGATCCTTTCAGGGCGCTTCAAATATGCATAGAAAGGAGACTGTCGTGACCCAAAACAGGTTACCCTGACTGTTGGAATTCTAAATTTGAATCTCACTGTCACAGAAGGGTCAGATACAGGATAACAAGTATTCTCCCGGAGTACGCATAAACCCCTTTGGACAGAATGATCCAGTAACAAACACAAATAAGGGGCGCCTTTCCTGGTGCAGACAAATGTATTTAAGATTAAAACAATAGTGGATGAGAAACATACTCACAAAAGGTCGACATGATTACAGCATTGTAAGTGAATACATGGACCAAGGAAGAAGCCAGTGATAGCTGCACAGCCGTGCCTGTGTGCCAGCAAGAAAGGCTGTGATGACGCCTTTCCGGGGTCACGCCCCCCTTCATCAGATCTGATGAAGGGGGCGTGACCCCGGAAACGCGTCATCATCACAGCCTTTCTTGCTGGCACACAGGCACGGCTGTGCAGCTATCACTGGCTTCTTCCTTGGTCCATGTATTCACTTACAATGCTGTAATCATGTCGACCTTTGTGATTATGTTTCTCATCCACTATTGTTTTCATCTTAAATAAATTTGTCTGCACCAGGAAAGGCGCCCCTTATTTGTGTTTTTTCCCCAGATTTTGCAGTCCCCCTGGCTGGTTTGGGGCAGCGTCCTGCAGATTTTTTATTACATGCTTTTCTTTTAAAACAGACTTTGCACTTCATTGCACACTTTTTATCCTGGTGGAGCAATCCCATTTGGTGCTTTTTTGTTCACATCTAGAATGATCCAGTAGCTGGGCACACACAGCTAGGAAGTCCATAGACCTGGCGAATATTTTGGACACACCTTGCATTGCTGAAATAGACTCTGCAGATGAAGATCCTATTAAGATAGGTTAAAGGTGTTGGTTCCATTTGGGGATACCTGGAAAAAGCCACCAGAACCATTAAAGTGGACATTTACCACTTTCACTAAAAATCACATCAGCATTAAGCTCTGCATGCTGATATGAAAACATCTTACACTGATATAATATACATATTTAGCTTTAAATTAGAATTATTGTTTTTCCACTTCCTGGTCCTTTAAGAATTAGTGATGTAACCTCTGCCTAAGTGATGCATCCTGGAAAGGTTACATCAGCAGTGCATTGCTGGCAAATCTCATCTGTAAACTACATACTCTCGCAAAATCTTAAAGACAGGCATTTTTTCCCTTGAGATGTGCATGGTCACATGTCCTAGTCACATGTGCCAGAACTCCAGGAAGTAAATGGAGATATATTAGATATATTAATCTGCTCTTGTAAAAATGGCCACGGTGAGAAGAATGGGGAAGAAGAGAAAATCAAGGTATGCAAAGAATAAAAAGCCTGCAAGTATCTGTTTGTAGATTGCCATTGCTAAACATTGCTCAAGGTCACCCGTAGCAGCAGGATTGTCCACAGGGCATCTTCAGAAGACATGTTGCGACACATGGTCAGCAACTAGGCGCAATGTGAGGGCAAGGCCTCAAGTACTCCTGAACCTGGGCAGTAGGTACTAATGAGGATTTCAGGCAGCCACAGGTGACCAAGTCACTGTAGGCAGGCAGTGGATCCAGATTCACTTGGAGTTTCTGGAGAAGGAGCAGAAGCGGGATGGTGTTTACACTAGACTGAATGTCGGGTAAGAGAAAGCGTAGCGCACACATACAGAACTACACCTAGTGGATGACGACCAAGCTTTAATCCTTATTGTGATGAAGATGACGGAAGCGGAAAGTTTTACATTTGGTGCCCAAGGATTCCAACTATGAGGTAGTTACCAGTGCATCAGGCTGACCAGCCTTGATCATTAGGCAAGCCTTCAAAGTCTGGGTCACACCAGAGGCTGTTCCACGGTTCCGGCCCTAGTTTGCTGCACAGCATTCTCCAACACAGGTCTGGAAAGTGCCGCAATGCAGAGCACAGTGTCTGAAGGTCAAATTTCAAGCTAACACCACAATGTTTTTTCCCCCCAGTGCAATGAGCACACTTCTACTGGCATAACATAAGCACTAATTCTGGAATGAACTTGGGCTCGGAATAGAATTTTACCAAGTGTTTCTGTTTAACCCATTCTACCACCCTCTGAACTGCCATGAAACATGATCCAGGTTTTCAAAGAGGAAGCTGAGCCCCGGATCTCAGCTGCCACAGACAGGTTGCCGGGCAGAAGGAAAATCAGTTCCCGCTCATCAAACTCTTCTGCAGACACTGAACCCATAAGTGATCAGTACTCCCGGGCTCAGCTCTTTAGTGTGCTAGTGCTCTATGTGGACTAAACTGCAGATATGGGAAGTTTTGTCCTGATCTGCATCAGTTAAACATAGAGGAGGTATCAGGGATCCAACACACCCATGCTGTTTTCTAAAACAGAACCTGCAAACAATGTATACTGTAACATCAACCTCTGTGCTTTGCTCATATAGGGCAAAGAAACATGTACAAGTCAACATTGGCTTGAGTACTGCATGTACTTGCCTTGATTTGCTGTCCAGCCACAGCATTTGACTTCATGAGTGAAAAAGAGCAACAAGCACTGTATACGCTACACGCAGGACTGAAGACTCTTCCCACCCCCAAGTGACAAAGCCAAGTGCCAGAGGAGACAATCACTAAGAACCAGTGCTGTAACACAGGGTAGTAGTGAGTCATATGCTTACCATACCCAAAAGTAGCGGGTATTTCACATTGCTTGCAAGGTTAAAAAAGCTGCGGAGAAGCAAAGTGAAGGTCAGCATATGCAGAACCATATGTTGAATGAGTGGTATTCGATATTAAATGTTTAGTCAAAATTTGGTGTGATCTATAATGTCTGCTAGCATACCAAAAGTATAAAGCTCCTGATTAAGGCCCCGTTCACACTGAGCGATCACGCGGTAATTCCCGCGATATCGCAGCTATTTACTGCGCGATATCGCTCTCCAATGCTTGGCAATGGGGCAAAGGGTCCTGCTGTCGCGGGTCGTGCGTCGCTACAGCAGGACCCTTTTTGGAGCGGATTTTGCCGCGATTCTAGCTTGCTCAATGCAAGCATTTGTGCGATATCGCGCAAAATGCAAATCGCGTGACAAACGCGCGATTTGTGAATCGCGCAGTGTGAATGGGGCCTAAGAATTTGCGACCGCTTCAGCAGCTGGTTAAATAGCCCAGTTGCTGGTGTGAGGAGGGAAAGGTGTTCTGTAGTCATAACACTTTCTGCCCTAGGGTGACAATGCTGCATCTTTATAGATCTAGTATACTGAGCGAGAGCTGTCATCACAGGAAACGAAGAGTGTTACTGGTAGAATGACCAGATAAAAATAAAGATAAAAACAAATCCTGAAAAAAACAAAACAAAAACAAAACGCAGCCACCACATTTGAGGACTGGTAAACTGCAATATAATACATTTTTGCTCTTGGGTTTAAACATTAGGAAAAAAAGGATCAGTCTTGGCAGAAAAAGGTGAGAATATCTGCCATGTACACTAACAGTGAAACCTGACATTAACTTCATACAGGTATGGTCTAGAATGAAGACCCATGCCCAATGAAAAACTTACCGCATTTATATCTATAGCCATTGAAGAAGGAGTCTGGATACCAGGGGGAGATTGAGGGACTGTTGATACTGAGACAGTAAGGGGAGGCAGTTGTGTTCCTCTCTGTAAACTGGAGCCCTGCATCATTGAGGAACTCTGCGATAGGCCACTTGGCACTTGTGATTGTTGCTGAGAAGCTGACTGTGTAAAAAAAGTATAAGGGGGTAGCTGCTGTTCCAATGACAACGCATCCATTGCTACAGCCTGCAAAATAGGAAGACGAATTATAAGTAACCAATGCAGTGTAACGATCATTTCACAAATAATTAAAAACTAAAGCCACTGTTAAGCCCTGTTCACACCAAGGTGTCATCGTTATTGCGCGTGTGTACATGCAGGTTCAGCTTTTTTTTTTTTTTTTGCACGTTTATGCGAGTTTTGACCGGCAGCTTAAAGGAGAACTATGAGGCGAGTGCTTTTCACTCACCTCATAGTTCTAGCCGACCTGTGACAATGAGACTGTCACAGGTCGGCTCAGTAGATCGGGAGGTGAGCGAACACATACCGGGTTCGCTCACCTCTCGATCCTGTCACGGCTCTCTGCCGTGACAGGGGAGGGACTGGATTCCCCCCTCCCCGCTCCGATCTGCCAGCGCTGACTGGCAGAACGGACGGGGGAGGGGGCGGGTACAGCTGGCTCTGCCTCTAGATAGGCAGAGCCGGCTGTCACTCACGCAGCTGGGCGGATCTCAACATCGATGTCGGGATCCGCTCCGGCTGCGGCGTCTCAGTATACCGCGAGCTGTAGCTCGCGGTATACTGAGCTTAGGGTAACGGGAGGACGCTAGTTTGTGTCCTCCCGTTACCCTAAGGAGAACTATGGGGAAAAACACTGACCCCATAGTTCTCCTTTAAGAGACATTGCGGTCAATGGACGAACCTCATACAAACGCTCAAAAACAAACATGAAATGTGCAACATGCTTCTGGTGTTGCCATTGACGTCTATGGGGGGAAAAAAGAGCTGCAAACTGCCAAAAGAAGCTCCTGTACATTGTTCTGCCTTTGCTGGTGCTTTGCTGCTCAGGTGTGAACTGGGGCCATTGAAAATCATAGGATTTCTTGTGTTGGGCGTCTTGAAGCACTTTTTTTGCTGCTCACGCCTAGGTGTGAACCAGGCCTTAAGCTTCCTAAATGCATAAATCACAACAAATTCACTAGGGATCGAAGCACAGACAACAGGGAAGTTATAAGACATAAAGGTGTACATTTCCATGGCATGGAAAGAATGCTCTGCGAGAAAACAAGCAAAGAATGGCACTAATGATGCAAGAAGGACTGAGTGTCGCAAGAAGGCAAATAGCTAGCCTTTGTATATCTAGCCCAATGCATTACACATTATCCAGGACAGATAGGGGTTCTTTTGAGGGAAAATATTTTTAATCACAAGCCCAGCAGGTGACCAATTCGACACTGACAGATGGCGATATCAGCAATAAAACAAGTTGGCACTCACAAGTGCAGCGGAGTCTGGTTGTCATTTTAAACGGCATCAGGAGAAAATGGTATTTCTAGAGCAGTTTCAAAACCACATTTTATGTTAAACTAATGTGGTTACACAGGACCAATGCAATTTAACCCCTTCATGACAGCTTATTTTCCGTTTCTGTTCATAAATGACTGACACACTTTTTAAATTTTTGCTGTGTGATTCTTCCACAGCAGTAATATACTTTCTTACTAAATGTACCCACTCATATTATATATTGTTTTTTAGAGGACAGATAGGGCTAAATAATTATATCAAAACATGTGTACTTAACGCCTCACTTAGTTTGAATAAAATATAAAAAAATGAGCAAAAAACTAGAAGAAAAACCTTTTTTTCACAAGTTTTGATAATTTTTTTTTTTTTAGAAATTTGTTATAATAATTATAGTATAAAAAATATATTTATATATCATTTTTATTTTCCTAATTTTGTTTTACACTTTTTTTTACACTTTGTAAAAAAAACAACTTTTTTTTTTTTGTCAGTTTATAACAAGCAGTCACTATGACTGCTTGAAAAAATAACTTTTTTTTTGTAATTTTTGGCTATTATTAGGCTGCTACAAACTTAGGAACAGCTAATAATAACCTTAGAGACTGATCCTGACAGCATGTCAGATTCAGATCTCACTAAAAGGTCTTTGATCGGCCCAGACGATCAGAAGTCTGATACATTTCACCAAAGAGATACAATGTATCATAAACATCGGGCTGTCAAAACGAATAGCAGAGAGGTGAGTCACTCTGCTACCTCTCTGCTATTTTCAGCTGTCAAATACGGGATCGCTATTTAGTGGTTTGGTATTTGCATGTAACGGCTTCATTCTTTCATTAGTGAAAGAAAAAAGCTTTTACAAAAGCTTAACTATTTCATTAATGAATGCCTCAATACTGAGACATTCATTAATGACTGGTAACTGCTGAGAATCAGCGGTTACCGGCATTACAAAGCCTGATATAACTCGTCACGTACAGTGTACGTGGCCAGTCATATAGGCACTTCGTGACGTGACATACAGTGTACGTCTTCCGTCACAAAGGGGTTAAAGAAATCCTGCTCCAAGAGCATTGTCAGCAGAAAGTTGCCAGATTGCAACAAAATTCAACACAGAGGGACTCAAAATAGGCATACAGGAGTCCTCAATCTCTTTTTCTGCAGCCCCTGTTATCAATGAACAGGAAAAGCCTCTATACTGAGTGTTCCTGTTCATTCATAACAATTGACATTGTTGCATTAGGCTAACAGCCAAACTTCTTTTTAAACAGTGTATATTTGTATATTATACATTTACCTTACTGCCATTAATAGCTTATGTAGCTGGCCTTGCACAGACGAGAACTATTCGTTAGATTGAATTTTGAAATTACTGTAGAAAGGACCGGTTGCAGTGCCAGGACGATCGGGCACGATCGATTGGTTTCATAACCAATGGCAGCTCACTTATAATCTCAAAAAAGGTTCCGTTTAAATTAAAATGATCAACTTTAGGTATGAAAGAGCCAGACCAACAGACAGACACACATCCCACATTTCATGTCAGCACTACTTCTCAGTTCCTAAGCGCAATGACGTTAATAAAGTGCCCCTGTGCCCATACTATAGAATCGCGATTTACATATTATCAATTTTTATTAACTACTGCTGGCATGTGTAAGCCATAGTAACCTACTTACCTGAGTTATAGGTGAAAGTGGGGATATTGTTGGAGACATCTGTTGAGACTGTTGCCTTCTTGAGTCTGAATTTAGTGACAGTGGGCTTACAGGAGATTGGCGATGTTGCGATGCCCCAGTAACTGTCCCTTGCGTTGTCGTCATTCCTAAAAATATAGGAAGCATAAAAACATTGAGCATAAAAACAAAGGCAACATAGTTTTCATATGAAAATACATGATCGGCGGCAAAAGTCACCGGGAGTCTGTTTAAACAGCCCCGATGCTGGCGACGTACACTGTACGTCGTCAGTCACGAAGGGGTTAAAAATAGACACTTTAGTCAGTTAAGCAAACTTTAGACATTACACAGAAAAAAATGAAACCAAGTACAAAAATAAAGAGCAGCAATTTCTGATTTTAGCTGTGAATGCCAAAGAGGTACTTTGCAAATCCACCTTCCCCACCCACTACACAGTAATTTTCCTAATACAATCACAGGCTACAGACGCTGGTAAGATGTAGTTTTACACAGTGCATCCTCTCCAGCCTTCAGCCTAGTGTTCACTTCTTACGGCTTCCATTTTGCATGAGGGAAAAAGCCCCAGAAGACCCAACCGGTGGAAAGGCTGGAGATCGAGAAGTCCATTATTCTTTAAAGCTTCTTCCAGAGCAAGTGCTTCTTTGCAAGATTGGTGGCTTAAAGAACACTATATGCTGGCCGCAAAGTAGAATGCACGGTATAATTTTTTAAGGTATGTGATTGTATTAGGAAAACAGCTGAGGGAAGCGATAGAAAGGAGTTGGGTAAAATAGCTTGAAAAACACATATATAGTGCAGTTTTGCTTTAATATAATTAATATCTTAAAAGTGTATCTAATCCTTGCGGCCACTGTCATAGAAAGTGACTGGAAATCCAAGTCAACAGAACATGATGTGAGGGGATAACTACCAATATGAGGAATTACAATCTTATCTTTCTAAGCTACTAATTCCATTAAACCAACCATGTAATGAGGAGGAACAAAAGCAGACATATTTAAAGTCCAGCCATGTGACAACCATGGGTTCCTTTATAGAGTGAAGAAATAAAGCCACAAAGCAACGGGATGTGTTATTTGCAGGATTACCAGGTCAAAATAAAGGGAAACAAGCCTGAAAAAAACAAACAAAACAAATGCAGCCACTAACTATGAGGACTGGTAAACTACAATAATGAATCTGATTGTATGCAAGTGCATTTCATGGCTTTTTATAAATAAATGCTATGGTTTTCTCTTTTCTGCACAAAGCAGACATGGCGTTCTTTATGTCATTACAGAAACAGTGGTGGACTCCGCTTAAGGTCTATACATCCAGCTAGCAGCAGTGACTACAAGGTGTGTAGAGAGGAAGCAACCTGGGCAGACTGTGCTGGGGAAACCCAAACAAGGCTTGGAAAGTGGTCCTGTTTGTGAGTTTGCAGATGTGGGTGGGATCTGGAGTGCAGTGTAATTACTTATGGCTGGATGACCTGGGAATACAGAAGTGTGCATTAGCAGTGTGAACTGCATTTTGAACCGTAGTGAAGCAGCACCAAAAGTATTGGGGGAAAGGGGGCACCAACATCCTAAGAATAGAAGACTAATTATGCTTATGGTGATATGACTATGATGGCTGCTCCCTGGCATACCTTTCAGTGTAGTACACGCTATCCATTTGTATTTGAGAGACTTAATGAGAACCTGTGCTTTGCAATAGGTTCTTATACTTAAAGCTTACGCAGGGCTAAATCTCCACTGCTTCCAGGTAGATGACCAGCAGCAGAGGAATGATGGAAAAGTAAGTATGTGCAGTCTGTGGGGTCAGAATTAAAGTGAACATGTTGCTATGCTACCATATAATTAGTTATTTTCATTAAACGTTCTACAGTGCTCCAAAATTGCCAATTACTATTAAATTAATGCCAACATAACTGAATTTAAATGAAAAGAAATGGACAATGAGTAGGTAAGCCCAGAAGGAAGACAGTAGGTTGTAGATTGGGGGATGAAGAATCTGAGGTGGAGACGAGACAAGACACGAATAGGAAAGAGACAGACACTTAGGATGCAAACCCAAATCAGTGACAGTGAGTAGAGGTGCAGAGAGCAGTGCAAAAGAGATGTAGCACAGAGGAAGTGACCAATAGTCAGGGGCAGAGGTACAATAACAGCACACAAAGTGCTGGAGTGCAAGTGAAAACCCTCACTCTGCCATTTAAATGTTACATTCCAGAACCTCAGTGGCAAAAAACAGGTTTTGCTTTTGGTCAATGCTGGGTTCAGGGCTTTACTGGACCTTGGAACAAAGGCTAATCCTGGTATAAAGCTTGGATCTAGGGTTTGTACTAGGCATGAGCTCAGGTTCATACTGAACATGACCATGGGCATATTAGGCAAATGTTATTGACCAAATATAGCCATTAAATTGGGAAGCAGTGGAGAAAGGAGGACTGGTTCAAAAGAGGTGTGAAAGAGGCTATTTATGTAAGAAAAGGAGAAGCCAAGCTTGAATAGAGGTGGGAGGGGCAAGACATCTATTGTCTGCAACATACAATGCTGTTTTAACACCTCTCAGGTTAATTAGACTCCAATTATGCAAATGCAACCAACACCTGGTTGTGCCAGATTATGTGGATTGGAGTGACATTCACCATATTTATTCCCAGATAATTTTTGTACAAGTCATTCTGAATTGAGAAAGCTGGTCGGATGTCCAGTGAAACGCCTTCAAGAAAAATACAGCAAGTCCAGTTGCCTTGACTTATTTTTTTTACAGATATACCATGACCTGGATGGATGAGAACCTTCACAGACAATACCAGTAATGTCAGTGTATAAACGTTGATGGAACAAATACAATTAGTTGAAGAGGTTTTTCCCTTCTCACTATCAAGTGGGACTCCAACCAAAATTTTTTGGGAGACATTTACATGTTTTTACTGCCATCTCTGCCTCTGTTAGGTCAATTTATTTAACTTCCTGTGTTGTCACAGCAGGAGTACGCAATATCTATCGCCTAACACCTGGGACATGAAGTTCCGGGTGCTGTGTACGTGTTTTATTCCCTACATTTAGCCCTGCGGTGGTCAAGCAGGGCTAAATGTTGATGAGGGGAGCCTCACACAAGTGAACTGAGCAGCAGCACAGGGATCGCCTAAAGCCAATCAGAGTACGAGATAAACGGATAGGTTGGGGTAAAGTGTTACAGAGAATGGGAGAGAAAAGTCCTGGAGGCGAGCATGGAAGGAGTGGACTAGGGAGCTAGAAAGCAGGAGGTCTTTAGAGAAGCGGAGGGGGCGGTTAGGGTGATACTTTGAGACAAAGTTTGAGATATAGTCGGGGGCAGAGCTGTGGATGACTTTGTAAGTGGTTGTTAATAAGAGTTTGTTTTTAAGAGTGTTTTTATTAAGAGTTTGAACAATTTACATATAGACCAATCAGAAAACATACAATGCAGGTCTACTCCCACTGTACAGACCAAATACAGATCCCATGTAAAAACACAATTGTAGAGCTGACTTCCAGCCCGCAAGCCACCATATGGGGGTACCTAGACAAACTTAAAAGTGCTAGTGACATTTCATTTTATTGAGGATATTGCCTTTGGATTAGGTAACGTAGTCAATGTTGTCTAATTGAAAAGATGATGGAGGATCAGTGGATTAACACATGGCTATAAAATATTTAGCATTTGATTCATATTACCATAATCTGCAAGAAAATATTTTAGTGTATATATATAAGTTGATAAACATAAAAGGCTAATTCCATCATACCAATGACAGTAAAATTTGGATATCTCTATACAGAATAGCAGCAGTATATTTTAGGGTTGCACAAACATTGACTGTCTCATAATACTGTGTATTGCGTAAATCTTCTATACCAAGCAATTTACAAAGAATTACAAAAGCGATTCATGTGAATAGAAAAAAATATATAAAATGGCTCGATCATATGTTGAGCAATGCTTACCTGGACTGGCAGTGGTAATACCCAGGTGAGTTAAATTGGTTGTTAGATTGCCTGTACTGTTAGAGTTTGTCAGAGTTGGGAATGTAGACTCCTCAGGATCTAATGGAATTGGTAGTGGAGATGGGAAGTGGATATTTGTTAGGTCAGGTAGTGAACCTCCTGTGTTATGTGCAGCAGGTATGAGGCTTGTAGTGTTCTCCTGGTCATTTGAAGGGTAAATGCTAAAAATAAATCACAGAAATAAAAAAGTATAAAATAGATGTTGTAGTTATCTAGATAAAAAGGCATATTTAAATAACACACATGAATTTTATACATGTCATAAAAATTCCAGGGAAGAATGCAACTTTGCTATTGTTGCATCCTAAAATGGTGCAGCTCACCCTAACTAGTGTACACCAAATACCTTTACCAATGCTCTCAGATAATTTCAAGGAGCTGTTTTAACTTTAAAGTGTCTTGAGACAAAAGGGAAATGGTCCATAATGCTGACATCACAATGTAATGGTTAACATTAAGCCAATTTTACTGGTAAACCAAAGACCAAAGTGTTATCAGAAAGAACCATACTCCAAAGAAACATGAGAGTTTACCTATTACCAAGGTTTCGAACAACAAAAGCAACAAGTGAGAGAGTCATACAGAACTCTTACAAACCAGCACTAACAGGACATAGAAAATTACCAAATAAATACAATTATAAAGTAGTAGCAGTCCTAACTAGTATTTCTTTGAACAGCTTTTGAACACAGGATCCTTTATACCAACCCTCAGGAAGGACGTCCTTGAGCTAGAGAATGTTCAGGGAAGGGAACCAAAATTAATAAGAGGGATGAGGACCTGAGTTATGAAGTTAGACCAAAAAAATTAAACGTGTTCTCCTGAGAGAAGAGACACCTAAGAGAAGATATGAGTGCAGTTGACAAACCCATTAATGGGCACTGCAGTATGGGGAATAAACGGTTTGGACTAAGAACTCTGAGGGCTTGTTCACACCAGTTACAGTACGTTCTAGAGCGGTAAACCTAGCAGCTGGTGCTTGCAGCATTTTTTGCGATCGCACTGGACCGGAATGCAGGTATGGTTGTGCCACGCGTTCTGGTGCGGGTAATCGCACTGCGGGTGGAGGGCATGGCTGCGGTGACATTGACTTGAATGCACCACCGCACCCCCTCCTGCCCCAGAACGCAGGGAGCTGGACTGGAAGTGATGGTGTGTTCCAGCAGCTAACCACTCTGGAACGCACTGTAACTGGTGTAACCAAGCCCTGTAGAGGACACAAGGCGACAAGAAGTTTGATGGAAAGAGGTATAATCTCACACCATGCAAAGGTTTTTTTTCTACTGTCAGGGCAGTAACAATACCCTTCTGTGATTAGCTGCATCTGCAGAAAGCACCGATGACTTAAAAAAACATTAATTGGTGAGTTGAGAAAATATAGGGTTATGCGAGTTGTTAGCAACATGTATACACACACACACACGTTAAAACAGAAGGACCTGCATCTTTATTCCTTATAACCCTTACTTATTATGTAACTATGTAATAACATTAGACATATATTCCATGTCTCTAGTATGTTATAAATCATAATTACTAACGTGACCTAAGGTAATTTCTATATTTGCCAAAAGGTGTAAAATGCCCCGTGTCTCAGGACTACAATGGACTAAACACCAGTTTCACAAATACTGAACCATGCCCAGTACAATCTGCATCTTGAAAATACATTTATTGCCCATCACCCCCCCCCAAAAAAAAAATCACCACAATAAAAACAAAAAAGGCACCCTTTAAAAATTGTCCCCAAAACCTCTGCAAATATTTTTGCTTCACTCATCAGTGTCCATCACTATAAACTGTTTAACAGCACCTCACTGAGGTTAATTATAGTAAAACAACCTATGAAGGAAGGTATTAAGAAATGTTTGTTTCTCAACTATCTAAACAATTGCATGTACAAGGAAGCATGAGGTCCCTACTCAAAAAAACATTTTCCACATCTTTAGTTAAATGATCGCAAACTCCATAGGATGAAGCAAAACATTGGTGTATTTATAATTGATGAAATCACTCCTTACTTTTGTGTGTTTTTGATAAGACCAGCAGATTACATAGTTTCAAAATACTTTAAAAGATATGCTAATTTCAAACATTCTAATATGGAATTCCATCCATCAAATGTTACATATTTACACTGTGCTTTTATATCCTGTATTCGTCTTGTGTCTCTCTTCCACTGAGATCCAAACTGCACACTGCCACTCCAGTGTTATGACAGGTCTGGTGGAATTATAAGTTTGTATGCAAGAGTTACAGGCAATAAACTGTCTTTCATTAATTATACACTCCTCAGCTTCTATGCACACTAGGCCCCTTTCACACTGTGCACACTTGTGCACCTGAATGCGTGAACAACGAATGCGTGAACAACAAATGCAGCAAGGCAGACGTGTGTTTTGATGCACCCAACAAATTTCCAAAAATGCAATAAAAAACAGCTTTACCCCATTCACACATTAACTTTAATGGACTGCTCTATGCACGACACACGCTGCAAAGAAGCTCATTCAGATGTTTAAGCTGCAAGGTTTAAGCTGCGAGTTTTGAGCGTTCTCATATTGCTTGCTGTGTTTGGGGTGCCATTAACAGTAATAGCACCACAAGCGTTAAACGCTCATGGCAAGTGTGAATGGGACCTCAAACTTTGCTGTGTTTGTTACATTTTAAACACACCCTATTTGGACAAACGCACAAAAATGCTACATGCATTCACGCACTTGGCAAGCGTGAATGGGGCTCGTAGTGTTTAAGAAGCAAAGTGCGATATGGCAGTGTTGAAGAAACAGAGACTGTATTACACCCCATTAAGGATATCAAATGTTGTTCTTCGACCTTACAGGTAAAAAAAATCCTGTATGGTCCCTTCATATACTTATCAGTTAGTTGTAAAGGTTTGCAGCCCTCATGCTGTTGAGGTCCTTCCACTTTGCAACGGGGACAACGTGCTGTTCAACACCTGACCGATCTGATGCAGCCAAGTGGCATTGGCGAGAAATAAACATTTCCTTATACCTTCCTTTAATATAGCAGGAATCTGTGGGCTTAGTGAGATGCTGTTGCACATTCTATACAGATGGACACTGATCAATGGCCATTATTGTGTATCACTCAGCTGTAGATCCTCAAATCATCTCTGAATTGGTGAAGACACTGTCCTTCCTTCTGGAGGGTGGCTACTTTTGTTCCCCATTGTCCCTGTGTGTGTTGTAAAGTAACCACCACTCCAAGCTCAGCCTCCATTCACACCTGGGCAACATGAAATATGCGCTTTTAGCGCAATTTGTGTAGCATATTTTCCCACACATATATAGTAGCGTGTTATGATGAGCAGATTGCGGGACACATTGATGTGTTTTTTACGCACATAAAAACATGCAAAAACGCAGCAATCGCGCATTTGTGAGCGTTTCTATTGAGGTCTATGGGGCCAAGAAGCACAGAATCTGCCAAAAAGAAGTTCATGTATGTTCTTCAAGCAAAGGGCATTTTGTTACAAGTGACATGACGCTCAGATGTGAATATGGTCATAGAAATTAATGGGATTTTTTTGGGGGGCATTTTTTTAGCGTTTTTGTAAGTAGAAAAAGCGTAAGAAAACGCTCAGTGTGAATGTGGGCTCACTCCCGTGATTGGCTGCAATCTCATGTTTAGTTTACTTATTTGTATTGAGATTGTAGTCTATCATAGGAGTGATCTTGGAGCGGTGGCTACTTCACACACAGGGACCATGGGGAACAAAAGAAGCAACCCTCCAGAAGGAAGGACAGTGCCAGTACAAATTCAGAGATGATTTCAGAATCTAAAGATGAGTGATACACAAATAAGATACATTTTTGTTAATAGTTAAGGTACTTGAATACATTTTTAAGATTTAACTCCCGAGTTTAGTGTCACTTGCACCACTTGAAGAGTTGTCCAAAGCGTAGATGCTATAGTGTTTTAGAAGCTTACCTTGCCAATGCACATCTCCCTGGGGTATCCTTACAATGCAAGGTACCCATTTCGATTAAAGCCAAACAATGTTTTGTTAGATAGCGGCACAAACTATTTTTTAATGAAAGATATACATGTATATTTTAATAATTTAAAAATAAAAAAATCATCTGGTATGACTATTACCGGTATCATGGGCACCTATGTAAAGCTTGATGGACACCAATGTAAAGTTATTTACACTTGATCAATATGAAATGAATCATTCACACATTAGATTCTCTTTTAATCTAGGTTAATTATCTTGCCTAGGCTGCTGGATATGCAGCCAAGAGTCGAAAATATTCACTATTCAAATATTCCACCATTCAGTATTTACTTCAGACGTGCACCACCTACACAAGTTTTCAGCTAGCTTCAAAGTCAGCCACACAACTTATTTTCAGGGCTGGAAAAATCTCTCATAATATTATCCCTCAGGCCAAAAAAAAAAAAAAAAAAAAGATCCTTTCATGCTAAACACTCCTAGGATGTTAATCTGCAAATCTTGTAAAGCCTAGATAGGAAATGCTGGAAGTGTTCTACTCTAGTAAAGTTGTGCTCATCTTAAGAGAATTTTAAATGCAATCTTACCACACATTTTTTTACCAGGTCTCAGTTACAATAGGTAAACAACATAAAACATAAACAGCTTTGTAGAACCACGGGAGGAATAAAACTTAACCCTTACAGTGGGCCTCCCCCCGCACTGCAAAGGTTAATTGCTAGCCCAAACCTCGGTCCCCCCTCCCCTCCCTCTTAAATAGAATGTATTAGACGTGAAGCCTAACAGGTCATTAGACCGCCAGAGCTTGGGCAGAAGTGGCTGTGGAGAGCAATCTAGCAGCCAGACGGGACCAAGATTCGGGTGAGTATATCTTTGTTATTTTAGACCCTAGACAGAAAAAAAGCACTTGGGTAGCCCCCACTGCAAGGGTTAAGTTTTTTCTGCTTGGAGATCTTTTTGAAAATCAAGCTAAAAACAAACAGTAAAGAAACTTGAACGGTTCAAAAAGGGAAATCCATGCACTGTAACTTACTTTATACCAGGGACTTCACAAGACTTAGGCCTTGAAGATCCAGTCTAAGCAATAAGAAGAGACACATATTGATTATTTAAATATACATTTGTTAAAAATAAAAACAGATCGTGCAAAAAGTTGGATTTTGTTTTTAGGCCACTGTGTTATGCGGCTACCCTTAAGCAATTAGATACTGGCAAAGCAAAAATGTAAGCCCTGCATATCCCCTTTAACTCCCAGAATGCTTCAGTTTTGTAGAAAGAAATACAGCAGTGATGATAGAATGAGGGGAGGGGCTTGAGAGACCGAGGCCTGGTGCTGAAAAGCCGAAAACACCTTGACCATAAAAGGGAGTTCCTTGCCCCAAAGGTCATAAGCCTGAGAGATAAGTAGTCTTATCAACCTAGCCATACTGGAATGAAAAGCTGGTTGCCTCTATGGTGCCCTTAGGGACAACAAACAGGGAGTCAGTCTCACAAAAGGAAAACAAGCACTGCTCACATTACATTCAAACAATGGAAAGAAATTAGGATGCTTAGGGGGATGACATATTGATGGTAAGACAATGTCCTGGTCAAGGTGAAGAGAAGTACTCACCTAGAAAGGAGGCCTGGGCCTCAAAACAACCTTGTTTGTGTGCAACAGGAGGAAGGACTCTTTACAGGACAAAGCCGCTAATTAAGAAAGTCACTGAGCCAAATAATGGCGATCAGGAAGACAATCTTACGAGTAAGGTTAACCAAAGGGATGTCCCTAATAAGCTGAAGGACAAAACCAGATTGAGGTCCCATGGAATCAAAAGAGAATGTACAGGAGGAACGATGTAAGCGATGCCCTGTAAAAAGGCCCTTACCATGGAGTGAGAGCCCAGCGTCCTCTGGAAAAGAACCACTAAGGCCCAAATGTAATACTTAATGGTCAAAAGTTAATGGTTAATTTCATAGCTTTTAGGAGAGTAGGGATGACTGAATCAGACAACTCCCTATCCCTCAGGTATGGGTTTCAACAGGCAGGCCATTAATCCAGCGACCGAAAAGCAGGTTGGTATACAGGGCCTTAGGAAAGATCTGCCCAATCTGGAAGGGACCACAAAGCGTTTGCTAGTCAGAGAAGGGATGCACCGATAATAGTATCGGTATCTATGCCCCCAAGCATAGCGCCGATTACAAATGACTTCGGCTGCCTGAAGCCCCTCGCTTGCTAGGAACCTGAGGCAGCCTGCTGGGGCACTCGTGGTAGCTGTCTGACAGTGCGGGTCTGGTTTCACCACTCCTCCTTCCTGAGACTGGCACAGCTCCACACTCGCCTGTACAGCCCTGGAGAGCTCAACGCCCACCCATTCAGCCTAGGTAACATCCCAAAGGCAGCCCAGGTGAGATGGCACACAGCCCAGGTGAGATGGCACACAGCCCAGGTGAGCAGGTTGCCATTCTCCATTGCTGTATAATCATGGATTGATGGGATCTGTAGTCTTCTATTGCTGGTTGCTATTCTCTAGTGTTTTATATTCATAGATTGAGTTACAGTTGTTCATATTTAAAAGGAAACTGTCCTAAAATCATTAGTCTGTATTGTTTTAGAAAAAGTGTCACGAGTCCCTTTAAGAAGAAGAAAAAATATATATATATCAGTAATTCAGTAATTGGTATAGGCAAGTACCCGAGGGAAAGTACTTGTACTTGGTCTTCAAAAAGTGGTATCAGTGCATCCCTAGGTCAGAGTACCATTTTAATTAGATGCAATTAGAATCATTAGAACTCCCTCCATCTCAATCCTGCAGAGTAGGCAAGGAAAGAGCTTTAGAGGAAAGCATAGATCAGGTTGAACTGATCACACATTATCAGAGCAACCACAGTGAAGGCCCAAGGATCACTGGATCTGCGATTGAAATTGTCTAGTTTGTTGATCAACCTGGTGGCCAGGAGCTGCATATCTGGCATTCTCCACCTGCGACAAAGAGCTCAAAACAACTCTGGGTGGGGAGACCATTCTCTAGAATCCAGATGTTGGTGACTGAAGAAGTCCGCCTATCAAATTTCTGCAGCTGAATTGTGAACTGCGAACGCGGCCAGAACTCGAAGTTCGGCCTAAGATAGGACTAGATCCGATTCCCTTTGAGATAAGCGACTTCTGCTGCCCACTTGATGGTTGATGTATGCCTATGCTGTGGCATGGTCCGTCTGAATCATGGTCGGATGTCAGTGAAAACAAGAAGTCCAGTGCTGCAGAAACAACTGAATCGCCTTGAACTCCAGGATAATGGTTGACAGAGAAGCTTCTGGACCGGCAGAGAATCCAAGACTCCTCCCCAGCTTCAGGGGCTGGCATCCATCATTAGCACTTTCCAGGACAGCAGGAGAAAGGTTTTCGCCTGATACCAACTTCAGCCTGAAGATCCAGCAGGCTAGGGCAAACCTGGTCTTGCTGGCCAGGCGTATGAGGAATCCAAAGACTTAGTCTTTTTGTGACAAGCTTCCAGAATGTTAAGTTGCAAAGATGCAGCGTGAAACTGGGCATATGGGAATGCCCTGAAGGAGGACACCATTAAGCCTAAAGTTCTTATGCAAAACTGAACAGAAGGGCAGCTCGTGGACTGAAGCCTAAGAACTAGGGAGCAGAGACACTAGACTTTGGCCAAGACTAATGTGAAAATACACTATGTAAAATGCTGCGTAAAATTGTCGGTGCTATATAAATACGTATAATAAATAAGGGAAGAAACGCCTGGGACAGGGTCATATCCAAGACAAAGCCTAAGCGATGAGAGGGATCCTGTGCATATATTTGGAGATTCAGGATCCATTGGAATTGCTGCATGGTGTGTACCGTCCATAAAACATTGGCTGCCAGAGGCTGTGCTGATTGTTCTCCCAGCAAGTGGTTATCTAGATATCTCACAATGGGAACTCCATGAGCAGGAAGCAAGGCTAGAACTGGGGTAACCAGCTTGGTTAAAATCTGTGGTGCAGTGGAAAGACTGAAGGGGAGGACAAAACGGAGTTAAAGGTGTACCCTAGGCAGACAGCATGTCAGCAAGTGGGCAGTGATCTGCACTAGCAGAGTTGGGGTCCCTGGAAGGGGGAAAAAAACATAACCTTCAGAAACAGACTACGAAGAGACTGAGAAGCAATGAACCCTGACCTCCTGAGCCTTTGACACTCCTAGTGTTTGTGAATAAAATCCCCACAGGGGTACTAACAACCCAGTAAACTGCAGAGCAAAAGGGTAAAACATTCTGTTCCAGGAACTGTAGGCAACTGGAGCCCAGGAAAACGTCAAAGGATTGCTGTGCAGTGGAGATAGGCAGAAACTAGACTTTGGCCAGGCAGCATGTGTATTTGAAGAAAAAATGGTGCACAGCTTGTAGAAAACTCATCACAAGAAGCAAGAACAGTGCATAAGTGGCCCCTACATGCAGTTTGAGAGCTCCAAGACAGACAGAGTGCAAAAACACAGCATGCGACAGAATGACAACCCTGTAACATTCACCACAGCTGCAATAATTTTATTTTTTTTAACTGTTGCAGACAGCTTTCCGCAAAACCCCGCCAGGGAAGGAAAGCAACAGCCCCATGGGGCCCGGAGGAAAAAAAAAAAAACTTGCTGATGTTAGCAATAGGTCTCCCAGGTTTTAGAGGCGTTAGGGACAAACCCCATTTATATCTTCTTCTTCCTGTTGGGCTTATCCACCAAAGGCTGTCGAGGACAGGGTTCCAACCTGTGGCTAACAATGCAATGCACAAGGGCCAAAATCAGTACTCCAGACAAAATTCAGTGCCCAAAGCAACGTTACAGGCTGAACCTTCTTCTTCCAGTGATCTCCCAAGGATTAGCAGAGAAGGGAACGATCCTGAAAAGCCCAAAACAGGAAAGCCACAGTGGCTTGAGGGCAGATGAAGACTTCTTAGAACAAACCTCCAGGAAAAATTGAAAAAATAGAAACTAGCAAAAAAAAAAACCTAAGGCATGCCGGAAATGGGAGGGGTTATGCAAGGCTGTGATTGCAGCTTTGTTTTTACAGTGTCCAATCACCTGACACAAACCAGTGGTCTAAGAATTGCTAAGCCTCTGTCCTGTGAGGTGGAAGAAAGAAAACGTCTGCTAAACTAACATATCTGAATATCAATGGATGGATTGCTAATAAAGTGCTATAGTAGGTTCTTGTCAAATTATATATATAGATCTATATCGATATATACACACACACACACACACACACACACAAGCATGCAATCCTATGTTGAAAGTTCCAAAGCACGTTTGCCTAGAACTTTCAACATAGGATTGCATGCACATGTCTTTGAGCAGGAATTGGTTTGCAGCCTCTCATTGGGAATTATTTCTGAGTGGAGAAGGAGGTGGATTACATTGGTGGATTGAACGGATTCCCATCAGCATCGGAAAGAGTTGTTTATTGAGAGGAGGGGGGAGAGGGCTTGAATTACCCTAATGATTTGTGTCATCTGGAGAGGTGAATGAGGAAATAAATCTGTGGTATGATACAAGTGCTTCAAACTGGTTATCTGGTGTGTGTGTTTGAAGGAAATAGGGAGCACAGTGGTTTTGGGACAATTCACCACACAGTTACTTTGGATGATTGAATCACTAATTTGTGAATGTCGGTGTTGTACAAACGACAAATGGGACTTTGTATCACTTGAATATTTGTACACAAGGAATATTATATAAAATATATATACATGCATGTGTGATTATATAGAAAAGTTCATACTTGATTCACTGTAATACACATATACCAGTTCTTTTTAATAATCATATTTAGAATATATATTAGTAAAGCACAGTACAGTAGATATTGAATTTCCGATGGCACCTCCAGCTGCGGCCAGCAAGACACGCGGTTTTGCTCCACGCTCTGCTACAAGAGCTTTTTGTCCTGTTTGACACGAGTAAACCTAACCATTGAAATCAATGGGGACGCGGGGCAAAAACACAAAAGCGCCCGTGAACATGACACCACGCGCAGGTGTGAATGCAGGCTTACACAGATTACCTATTAAAGCGGACCTTTACACTCTTTCAAGAAAAATCACATCAGCATGTGGCTCTGCATGCTGATATGAAATCATCTTACATTCATTAAACATATTTTCTTTTACTTACAATTACTGTTTTCTACTTCCTGGTCCACTTTGGCACAAACTATGTAATTGTGCCCAAGCGCTGCATCCTGGGAAGTTTATATCAGCAGGGTATTGGTGGGAAATCGCATCTATAATCTCACAAGATCTCAGAGAAATGCATTGATGATGTGCATTGTCACATGTCCTAGTCACATGTGCCAGAGTTCCAGGAAGTAAAGGGAGATATAGTAATGTGCCCTCAGTAAAAATGGCCCCTTTAAGAATGGGGAGGAAAAGAAAAAGATATGCAAAGAATAAAAAGCCAGCAATTATCTAGAAGTATGTGTTTGTAGATTGTCATTACTAAATATTTCTAAAGGTGTATTTGCTGTCATGTCAAAGATATGGGTAAAGTGCCTTTTCAAGGTAGCTGTGCCCTTTTGGAACTTGGAAGCCCCTGCCTAGCACCCTGCAAATACTAGGTCTAAAAGGGTGAACAGAGCTGAATGGCACAGTTCACACTTCATGGTTAGGGGCCATTGTGAATAGGTGACCAAAGAAAGCTAACTGCTTTGCTCAGATAGTGGCTCCCAATTGTTTTCAATGGTTTCTCCTACTGGAAGAGTGGTTCTGCCTTGAGCAGCATACTTTCTGTACCAAGCTTTTACTAATTTTGTATAATTTAGGTAATAGCAAAGTCTCTGTTGGAGCAGACATGTCACAAGAGGATGCCATAGAAACAGTCAAACATCACATAAAAGAAAAAAAGTACCTTTTTTGCATCCCAGCCTTGTTTAGAAAGAGGTGTCTCTCCTTCAGAACTATCCTCCATTCCAGGGACAGCCAGCAACAATACTTCATATTTAAAAGGAAAATGAAAACAATGAATTTGTCCTTATTCATTTAATAGACATAGCTTGTTGAAAAAAAGCCGTTAAAGAGACTGTAGCTTTTTTTTTTTTAAACTGCTAGCTGCAGGTATGTGCTGGGGGTGCCAGTTCTAAAAAGGCAAAAGTTCCAAAACTTAAAAACTAAATCAGAACAGCCCAGCATTTCTGGTTGCCTATAGCAACCAATCCACTTGCTTTTTCAAACCTAAACTGTAAAAATGCCAGTTGGATTCCCACTGGTTGCATTGCGCAACAAGAAATTTAACCTACAGCATGTTTCATATATTTTACATTTAAGGTGGCCAGGTCTATTAAAGTTTAAACATTCAAAGAAAAGTGGCACATTCTTATTTTTACATAGAACCTTTGAAAATAACTTCATGCAACAATAGAAATCAAATCACAGTGACCTGCAAAAACTTTCCCACGCAGTTGCACACAAAAGAGTAAAAATAATTCTGTGCATTTAGATTTCAGACAGTCCATACATTAATAATTAGACAGCAGACAGTTTCTTGTGACATTAGATCACTTTCCTCCCCCCCGTGAACACCAAATGTTGCAACAGGCAGAAACAGAGTTGCTCAGACTGCATTTTTATAACTTAGCAACTGGTAACCAAATTTAAAAGGGACTCATCAAGTCCCATGATTATTAAAATGGAACTTCCAAGTCTTATAATGACAACTTCGGATTATCCCGTCACCATCGTTCATTTCATTAATGACGGTAACAGGATAATCCCGTCATTCGGTACAAGAGACCAGCAGCTCATTTAGTTACTGCTGTTGTTGGGTCCCTCGGGGTCCAAGGCAGACCCTCAACAGCAGATTAGGTGGTCACAATTTTGTGATCAGAGCAAGAGCCGATCACTGTGACGGTCACACAGCTGGCAGCAGCTCAGCAGTGTTTTGTAAACAGCTAGCTGGCTGTGTTTGCAAACTGACAAAGTATCACTGAGCAGAATACTGTTTTCTACTCAGAAACACTAAGTATCAAAGCACCTGTAAATAAAAAATAACCACTTAGTGCCCCTAAAAAAAAATAAAAAGAAATGTAAATATAAAGAAATAACGATTTTAAAAATTTAAAAAAGTTTTAAAATAAGTCAAAAAAGTTTAAAAAACAAATACGTTTAATAAAAAAAATGATAAGAAAATACAGTGCCAAGAAAGTTTTTAAAGATGGGAGACAAATATTCCACATTCTAAAATGGTTCCACAGGAAAAATTGTATTTCAATTGTATTTCACTGACCTATAACTCCCAAAATAAACTGAAATCCCAGATAATATGATATACCCTATAAATCAGGACAAACATAAGAGTTTATTATGAATTACTTTCTGTTACACTACACTATTTATGTACACATTATTGCCAAAAAAATTTTTAGAATAAAAATTTCTATATGCATGTCACATCAACAAACCCCATTTTGTCCTTTAAAAAAACAGTATCTATGTGTAGGTGCAATGAATGAGGAAGATGAAAATTATGGTTAAACACAGGAAAAAAATGGCAAAACTGCTCCGTTCCAAGAAGCTAAAATATTTTTCAGAAACGGTCACTAAATGGTTAAAGGAGAACTATGGGGTCAGTGTTTTTCCCCATAGTTCTCCTTAGGGTAACGGGAGGACACAAACTAGCGTCCTCCCGTTACCCTAAGCTCGCGGTATACTGAGACGCCGCAGCTGAAGCGGATCCCGACATCGATGTCGAGATCCGCCCAGCTGCATGAGTGACAGCTGGCTCTGCCTATCTAGAGGCAGAGCCAGCTGTACCCGCCCCCTCCCCCGTCCATTCCGCCAGTCAGCGCTGGCAGATCGGAGCGGGGAATCCAGCCCCTCCCCTGTCTAGCAGAGAGCCGTGACAGGATCGAGAGGTGAGCGAACGCCGGGATCTGTTCGCTCACCCCCCGATCTACTGAGCCGACCTGTGACAGTCTCATTGTCACAGGTAGGCTAGAACTATGAGGTGAGTGGAAATCACTCATCTCATAGTTCTCCTTTAAGCAATGCAGTGAACTGGTACATTACAGCAAAACTTGTAAGCCCCTAGCAGAGAAGGCATTGTCCACTGCATGCACTGGTTTTCAATTATGCATTTCACTTATATAGTGTTATGCAAATTCCTGGCCCACGCTATGACAGTCAATTTTCTCAAGATATACTGTTGAGGAAATAGGGAAAAAAAAAATCTATTCTCAAAGAGTTATCAATATTTATCAAGTACCCCAAAATATGCACTTTTCACTTGCTATACACATTTATACAAAAAACCTCATCAGAATAAAATCTATAATGCCATGACAAATCTCATTAGAAATCTTTGGTTACAACAAATACAGGGTCATATACAAAAGGGTGTAGCGTTCGGAGAAGGGAACAATCTTAGGACAACATACAGTATGTGAACTGGAAAGTGAGCCAAATAGGAGCATTTTTCTAGTTCAGGTATTTTGTCCTAGATTGTTCACTTCTCCTGCCTTCTCCAAACTCTCCACCCTTTTATGAATAACCCTGAGTTTCCTGAAAGAAAACCACATTCACTGTTAGAATTTTGTTTGCTCATCCTGCTCCTTCGGTTTTTTTCGTCACTACAGTCAAAAACTATTGTTGACGTGACCCCATTAACTATTAGAAAAACGAACATCCCAAAAAATTTTTTTTCGAATTCTATTGATGCATGGCCAGCTTTACACATGGCCTGCCTCCACCAACAAATTACCAGTCTGCACAAGAGCCATGCTCCCGACACTTGTAGTCAGAGAAAAATTAGAAGCCATTTGTAATATGCATTTCACCCTCTGTCCCCAAACTCTCTGGATAGAAAGACCCAATGATAAAACAACATAGGACATTGCAGGCTGACTATTCTGCAGTACACTTTACCCTAATTTACCAACAGGCCCTAAATAAACAAGCAAGATGACCATCACAGACCGACTGACTTAATAGCCCAGAGAAAAGTTAGACTTGAAATTACCTTGATTCAATTCCCTACTCAATTCCCTACTCCAAAAAATCTCTATTCTTGGAACATCCATCTGTTTTAACTACTGCAAATTACAGCAGATCACATACAACTCTTTCCACGGGTTGTTTTGCCAACAGAGGTGACTTCTATATAATGTGAGATCTTGTACAACATGAGGATTTCTACAGATTGCAGACCAGCTCTGCAAAAGGCCATTTGACAATTCTCATACGATGATTTCTGACTTTCTTTAACCTTAACCCTAGTTCATTTGTATTGCATAAAAATGGCGGTATATGGATAGTTTCTTATACAGCTGACATATGCCACCAAGCAATACATTTGCATAACCCGCTTGAATATCTTAACAACCGCAAAATCGCAATATTGAGTTCTCTTGCGTCTACTGAAAAAGTAACCAGCCTTCAGGCTTCTTAAGTTATTCCAGTTTAATATGGCTCTGCTTATTCCACATAATAGACAAAGACAAAATTCTTTCTTTGATAATAGTTCATAGACTGTGGAGTGTGATTGTCTCATCACTCATTATTATAATTGTCCTCAACTATATAGTTTTAATTCACACCTAAGTTTTCCAAGAGTGTTCCTGTTAATCTATAGTTTCAAGGTGCTTCAAGCTTTTGTGTCTAGTGCATAGCTTACCACATTGCCACTATATTAGACAATGTTTCTCAACCTGCACAATGTTTCTCAAGCCTATGCTAGTAAAAGAGGGAGAAGTGAATAGAAGAGTAGATCACATAAACAGAGGGGAGGGTCACATGTCCTGTGTTCGTACTCCAAGGAATGGATTTTAATGGTAGATCAAGTTTTAGTGATCTTAAATCACAGTTACATAGTGTCACTCAATATATCCCAAACAGTTCAAATACAATTTTTTAACGCTACTTAGCTGCCAGGCACTTTGTTCCCAAGCCCAGTACATTCTGAAACCAAAGAAATGTCTAACCTATGGATGGGCAACACAGCAAAACGGATAAAAGGCCCATAAAATGACACAAATTACCCTAACAGGAAACTATAACAGAAGGAGCCCATAAGTGAGAGGGGTGTCTGAAGAACTTTGCAACCAAAGATGGCATCCTCAGAGGCCTGATTGTTCACCTGGTAAGACATGGTAAGAGTGTGAATACAGGACCAAGTGGCAACCTTACAAGGTTTGGGATGCTGAACTCTGAAAGGCCAAAAGAAGCAATAACGGTGCTTCACACCAAGCTACATACGCCTTCCAGGTGCAATGATAAACCCTGTAGGTGATCACTTTTCTAGCCTTCAAGAGCATATAGGGTACAGAGTGTCCAAAAAGGTACTGGTTCTGTACTTCAGCAGCCATGCCGTTAAAGGCAGCAATCAAGAAGCAGGGTGGTCTGGATGATCTGGAGGTGCCCAAGAAGATGACTAGAAGTTGACTGTGTAATGCAACCAGTTGAGAGCAATGAGGCGATCCGGGCTGGCTGGAGCAGGCAGATGCGGCCCTCTAATCATGTATGTTAGAGGGCCTCCCGAGTACACCTTGAGGAGTGAGCGACCGCACGATTAGAGAGCCGTATCTGTAGCGGTGCATGTGGCAGAGAGGCGGCGGAGGGAGGGAACCATTCCACCTGCGGCCGGGGGCTTCATTTAGTGGGGGGCAGGGGGGGTGACGCCCGCGGGCCCTCAGCTGGTGGTATTCAGCATTGCTGTATAATCATTATACAGCAATGCTGAATACCACCCAGCTACAGTCCCCCAATCCCCCCAAGCCAGCCATCACCCACAGACTCCCCAACCTTACCTACATCCAGGCTGCAGCACCTCTCCTTGGCAGCCAGTGGAGGGGAGGGGTCACAGGGGAGCGTCCTCACTCACGCTGACCCATACCAGGAACGGACTGGGAGGGGGCGGGTACAGCTGGCTCTGCCATGCCCGAATGCCCGTATGGTCAGTCCGCCCCTGGTGGTGCATTGAACTCAACGGCACCGCAGCC